CCATAAGCTTAAAGTCAAAGACCAGAGGTTTATCCATAAGACAGTGTTCTAGACAGTGTTGAGGGGAGACAAACCCTACCACTCTATTTTCCCAAACCTCAACAGCTTCTTTCCAGTGCATAAACCTAACCAGTGATCTACTATATAACAGTTGTGGTCGGTAACTTACTTACATGCATCGAAGGCATGAACGCTGTGGTACTCTGGGGCTTTTAATGACTAATGCAATGATTGTCACATTTACATTTTAAATAACTTTTCAACTGAAAAATCTGGTGTACAAATTGGGAATGATTTGGGAATTTCTCATTCACACAAGGTAAACATACAGTTTGAAATACAAACACTTACTCAAAAGTTCTAAGTGGTGCTAAAGGATCTGTATGCTTTTCTTTACCTGGAGCACCTTGGCCTGTGTGCTTACTTTTATATAGGTCATATCCTGCTCTGGAACGAGCGTACTGCAATCAGAGGCTCGAGTCTGCCAGAACAAATCTGTAATTATATTTTTAGGCATGTAAATACAAATACAGTGAAGGGCTAATGTTTCATTTGCTGAAGACTGGTGTTGCATCTAGCTGATGGCATGGAGATACTTTCTCTCTAAATAATAAAATAAGTAATTTTGCAGGAGGTTTCACAAAAAAACACAATTCAGCAACTCATCAACAGCTCATCAACAACTCATCAACAACTCATCAACAACTCATCAACAACTCAACACAACGTCACAGAAAAAAGGTTATAATCGGTGATGTTGGTTTACGGCCACCTCTCCTCAGCACCTTAGCTCCTTAGATGCCAAAACACTGTGAGCCTGAGGTGGCAGCTGCGCATGAATATGTCACAGTGAAGTTAATCCAGTGTGATCCATTAATAAGTATATCTGTCACCAGGAGAGGCAGTTGGTTTCAGCTGACAAAAAGTGGCTGGAGGGGTTAAAGTGGCTGACCCACTTTAACCTGGGCCTGATTAGTAGCTGCAGTCCTCTGGTTTATGGCCGAGTGTATAAGGATCTAAAGACACACGAGACTCAGAGTGTCAACATGCTAATGCATTTGTGCTATAAAAAACTATTCTATGGACTTGTGTTATTTTTTTCTGGGGGCTTTTCAGGTTTCTTATTGCTTTAGTTCCTTCAACGAAGACGGTGATGATAATTGTTTTTCACATTGTAACATTGTTTCAGCCTTAAAACACTCAGTGAGAAAACCGCTGAGTCAGGAACCTGAAAGTCCCATTAGCAGCAGAAGTAGGGCAGCTCTTATCAGTTGATAAACCAAGTTACACGAGTTGCATCTCAAGCTGATTGAGTGATTTATGATTTATGATTTATGATATGATTCATGTTAAATAGGTTGCTGATTATTGAAATGGTTATTTGAAAGTAATTTTAAAGATTATAAAATTCGTTTTAAAGTAATTCCGACCGTTAAATATGACCATCTCTGCCAGCCAGATTCAGCTCTTTTTAAATGGGGTACTTTCTGGATTTGTTTTGTTTTTTCAATTTTCCAGTCAGTCACTCTATCACTGTTATTCAGAAACTGTTTGACAGCAGTCATCAGGATTATCCATGAATAACACCTTTGGTGACAGTGGGAGGGAAAAACTCCCTGGTAACAGGAAGAAACCTCCAGGCACTGTGACTGGAGTGAGGGGAGGATCAGGAGCTGCTGAAGAGAACCAGAGATTAATAATAACTAATGATTAAATGCAGAGTGGTGTATAAACACATAGTGAGCTAAAAAGGTCAGTGAAGAAGAAACACTCGCCAGCAGCACTGACCTATTATAGCATAAGAGAGGATTCAGGGTCACCTGATTCAGCCCAAACACATGTTTTATCAGAAGTTTCCAGTTTTAATAAAGCTCTCATTTCCATGTGCTCTATAAATTACCTATAGGCTTGTCTTGAAGAAGCTGAAGGCTTCTGCTTTTAGATACCTTGGATGTTCTAATAGGGTGATATGGTACTACAAGGTCATTAAGATAAGATGGGGCCTGATTATTTAAGACCTTGTATGTGAGGAGCAGGATTTTGAATTCTGGATTTAACAGGAAGCCAAAACAGGAGAAATCTGCTCTCTTTCTAGTCCCTGTCAGGACTCTTGCTGCAGCGTTTTGGATTAGCTGAAGGCTTTTCAGGGAGTTTTTAGGACTTCCTGATAATAATGAATTACAGTCGTCCAGCCTGGAAGTAATAAATGCATGAACTAGTTTTTCAGCATCACTCTGAGACAGGATATTTCTCATTTTATGCAGACTGCACAAATTTAAGAAAACCCACATTTGTTTAATATATGCATTAAAGGACATCTGATCTATGTTGTATGGCATTCAATGCAATTGAAAGTCTGCATCCTCATCGAACAGATTTTTCTTCAGACTAATACAACAGCCTTATACGTGTGTAGTAGTGAGTAACCTGTGGTCTTAAACCCTCAACTGCAAGTTGAAAAAGAGCATTATTATATTGTTTTTCTCAAAGCGCTAATTAGCAGATGGTCCTGGTAGACACGTCTGTAGCCTACACAGGGTTAAATCCAGATCTGCTGCAGGTACTTTTTCATGGTATGATACTAATCTGTACTATCAACAAAAACAGAGGAACCGTGCATGTCTCTGTGGTTTATGTCGCACACACATGTGCACAAGACTTCCAGTAGCAACTTTTCAGCAACTGTCAGTGGCTCTAAACTGCAGCACAATGCTTTCTCATCATTTAAAGCTCTAACTAGCACCATCTACAGTCCAAAGCACTGTGTTACATGCTACCCTGTCACACTCTGTCAAAAATGCTTTCATAATTCTGATTTAACCATTGTGGCAACAAGTTATAAGATAAGATAAGATAGAACTTTATTAATCCCTCGGGTGGGTTCCTCTGGGAAATTCGATTTCCAAAAAGCACAGCACCGACAGAAGTTACAGTTACAGAATATTATATATATATATACACACACACACACACACACACACATATAAATACAGAGACAAATATAAATAAAATATACGAAGTCGATAAATAGAATAAATAGGAATAAAAAATAAAAATACAAGTGAATTGCACATTTCAAGTATGTAACAAGTTGTGTAATGAGGTGCTCAAATAAAGGTTCTGGGCTTGTAGCTTCAGCAGGAAATAAATATGCTTTGCACATTTCATTTGATGTTGAGACAAAACTGAGAGAGTCTCCTTTATTTCAAAAAGTTTCATTTTCATTGTTGTTGTTGTTCTTTTGGCTGCTCTGTTCAGCTGTGACCATGACAGGCCTCCAAGGATTTTAAGACCACGTTTAAGGGAAAAAAACAGCAAACCTTTTACTTACTTTATACATGCAGTTTTTATGCACCAATAATTTTGAGAACCAGCAGCAGACAAACAATATTTCAGTCTTCATCCCAGTGTATCCAGGCTTGGTTGGGCTGTCAAGTGATCAGTGACATCCAAAGCTTCAATCAGTACATTGCTGCTGCAGTATCTGATTCAGTGGTTTATACAGAAGTGAATCTTTAGTGGGATTTGTGCTGTGTTGTGGTGATTTTGTGTGAGAGATCGTAAACCCATGTGGGATATACTGAGAGACATGGAGCGAGCAAGAAAGAGAGCATGTTCTGCTGTATAAAAAATGAATAGAATAACCTTATGTGTTGTTTTTATGATATTAAACAGAAGCTGTCATTTCAAGTTGTAGATGCAAGCTGCTCTTCACGCAACTTTTGCTTTTGGCCACAAGATGGCACCAAAGAGGACTGACAGAACACAACACTAACACAAGCTTCAGTGCTTCAGACGGCTTCATTTGGCCGTCACTAGATGCTGACGCTATATAAATAAAATGAAATGAACTGAACTAAAAGAGGCAGTTTTACTGCAGTAAGAAAACACTTAAGTGATCTTAAAAGAAGCCATGGGTCTGCAATGATTCAGACAATATACTTTATACACAGAAAAGGGGAGAGAGGACGTTCCCGGGGAACACTGCTGACTGATGAGACTGATCAGTCAACCATTTCATTTCCACTGCATCTTACATGCCCCCACCTGCCACCCCTGCTGCACATGTAAGCTGTTTTCACCTTGGATCCATTTTTACCTTGTTAGCCTCTTTATTACAGTTGAATCATGACCACTGACCTTAACCGAGGCAGGTGAGGCCTGGAGTTCTTTAGATGCTATTGTGGATTCTTTTATGAAAAGAGATGAGTGGAAAAAGCTCCATATATCATACATATGATGCATACTAAGTCAGCTGATCAAGCCCTAACTTTAAGCTGTATCAAAAAAAGTTTGAAGCCTAACCTTAAAAGCAAAGAAGGTGTCTGTCTCCCAAACCCAAACTGGGAGCTGGTTCCAGGGAAAAGGAGCCTGAACGCCGAAGGCTCTGCCTCCCATTCTACTGTAGGAACAACAACAGGTCAGTAAGCAGGGCTCCAACGCCTTTGATGAGCCATAGTTTATGCAGTGAGACACATGATAAATATGCTATATGTGTCATTATTGTCTGTGCCATGTGGACGTCCTCTTGTCAGTATTTATCTGTTGACTTCTCTGTTATTTGACATAACAGCAAAGAAATAGCCCGTTTGTACACAACGAGGCTTATTCGGATTTAAAGGACTTTTAGAAAAGTCCTGAAAACTATTAAAAAGTGTTTTCCAAAAATGTCTCCTGTTGCAACAACACATATTTATATTTTTCAAATAACAAAAGTACAATTTAAAGTCAAAAAACTTTATTTTGTGTTAACATCCAACATGAATACATGAACATTTGCTTTGCATTACAACAATAACAATAGTTGCAGTAAAAGACAGCTATCATTGTACTCTTTTAATTATCCCAAGCATTGCATTTTAAGTTGCATTTAAGCTGTGCACAATACAAGTGATTTTACATCTAAACTCAATGGAAAATTAAAGCTACAGCTTTTTACCATCATTTGAGTTTACAAGAATGTAAACATTATTTTTTCACTTAAAAAGTAAAATGTTATTTTGGTGTTTTTCATCAGTCGTCAAAGAGGTGAAAATGATCATCCCCACCCCGCTCACTAGGTAGAAGCAATAATATTATTCTAACGCTTCTGAGCCAAAGAAAAATCTGCCCTGCACACGATAGCTCCACCATCAGCGTTCACATGTTACACACGATGTTTTCACATGGACCTGAAGCTCCGTCCACCTTATGAAGCGTGCCAGGCCACGGCCTCAGCATTTCTCTCCTCCCCCGTTCACATTGGACAGTCTGAAAATGGAAAGCATGCAGATGTTAATGGAGTGAATAATTATTATTGCTTTCGATGGATAGTATGCAGCAGAGCCTGACAGCTACGTGGAAGGAAAAGGTCACATGATTTGTCTGTGACACGAGAGGCTTATGGAAAGATTTGACCTTTGAAGGATAAAGATTTCTGTCAGCCTGACATATTGTGTTTCTCTTGTTGATCTTGAATAATCCTTTACACCACTGAGACTTTCATGCCATTAGTACTCTTGGACTGTTAACTATGAATATGTGCATAAATATACTACTACTTTATGCCTTAACCGATAAACAGGCTAAAACACTGAGAAGTGATTGGAAAGAAATAAGTGGGGCAAACTGAGGTCAAGAAAGGTTTCTGCAAGGTTGCTGTAAGGCTGTCAAAGTGGAGAAAAAACCCTACAAAGTGAAAGAGTTCTCTTTACAGTTGTTACAGTATCAACAAGAGAACTACTTTCTGGAAACCAGGCAGCTGAGCTGGGACGGCACGTGGAGGATGCAGCATGCAACACTGGCTGCAGCTCAGGTGGCAGAGCAGGTCAGCCACTAATCAGAAGGTCGGTGGTTCGATCCCCGGCTGCCTCCTGGCTGCACGCCAAATATCCTTGGGCAAGATACTAACCCTGTGTTTGGTCAGAGGGCCCGGTGGCGCCAGTGTCCGGCAGCCTCGCCTCTGTCAGTGCGCTCCAGGGTGGCTGTGGCTACAATGTACCTGCCATCACCAGTGTGTGAATGACTGAATGTAGTGTAAAGCGCTTTGGGGTCCTTAAGGACTAGTAAAGCGCTATATAAATACAGGCCGTTTGCTGAGTTTCCTGATCCTGCACAGCCACAATAATTTGTAGCTTTGGCTGAAATTTTAAAACATGCTAGAAACAATTTTAGAAACATCAATTTTGTTTGTGCAGAGGACAGAACACCCCATGGGGTGCCCGAGCACACAGGAAGTGATTTTCCTAAATAGCATGGTAGAAAAACGTTTCCATGTCTCTGAAACTGCTCTGGACGAGCAGCGAAACATCAGTGGCTCGAGGCTAAAAGAAAACACAAAACTGCTTCACTGCTTTTTAAACAACCCGTGCAGCGTCATGGTTCAGTGCCTCGTGTTTGCTCTTTCATAAGTGAAACTGCAATATTCCACGTGAAAAATTAGAACCAGTTACCTTCTGTAAGGCAGTTAGCCAATGACTGATGATTGACACCACAGAGTCACTCTCTTTGCATCAGAAACAGTTCATTGTGTTGGAGTCAGGTTGCTGTGATACTACTAATTAGAAATAAATACTAATCAAACTCCTGATAAAGACAAAATAAATGAATAATGTTCTGACCTGGAAGTAGATGATGATGATTAAGACACAAATGATTGCGATCACCAGGACAACCACAGGAACACTGACAGGTGCCGTGTTATCATCATCTCCCTCTTCTTCACCCTGGTGCTGACTTTGCCTCTGAGTTTCCTGCACGGGGCAGCTGGAGCTGTCTGTGAACGCAGAACAGGAAACGTAAGACTGAAAAAGTGATGTGCACTCAAAATTTCAGCTCTGTGGATAAACATGGCAGTGTGGTCGCCTCACCGAGGACATGAATGAGTGTGCCATTGCCAATAAGCCGCAGGTACGGTGGTGGGTAGAAGATCTGTATTTCACAGCGATACATATCTGTGTCAGTGGCATTCAGTCCAGAGAGTGTCACCTCCACAGTGTCATGTGTGGTCTCAGCAGTGCACTCCACCTGAAATGTGCAGGACATCATTGTACCTCAACACTCCGTGCACAAGTTTCACACTTTGTATTTTGTATTTCAGTCTTTGTGCCATTTGTAAGACTGCAATCTTCAGTTTAATGTATCATATAATGAAGAAAAAGAATATTTATGGAGGAAGAAATATGCATTTGTTGGACGGGATCTGGATTCTCAATGTTTGAGACCTTGTTCACTAAAGACGGCTCATGCATGCAGTTTGCTGAGCACATGAACCACCTTCGTTTGGTAACTGAGGGTAAATTAAGGGTGTAGTGAAAGTGGGCTTCTTCAGTTGTGAGCATGATATAAATATGTTTATATAGCGCTTTTCCACTCTGAGCACTGAAAGCACTTTCATAACTTCATTCCCACGGGCACTGTTTTCTCTGCTTTCTAACATTCACACACCAGTGGATGCATCGGAGGGCAACGTGGGGTTTAGTACCTCGCCCAACGATATTTGACATGCTGACTGGAACAGAAGGAGGTGGAACCACCAACCTTCCAATTAGTAGGTGACCTGCTCGACCACCTGAGTTTTTAAGCATAAAGTGTTATCTTGTGTCACTAGCAGGTCGCAGTGGCAGATTCCTGAAGAAAACTCAACCTTAACAGGCAAAAAAGCACAAAAACAATAATTACCTGTTCTTTTTGCTCCATACGTGTCTCTCTCTGGTCCGTGAAGTTAAGGATGGAGAAGCAGAGTTCTTGGTGGCCATGGAGGCCCTTCAGCACAGTGACTCGGGCCTCCTCAGGGTATGGGTATTTCAGGCTTTGTGGATGAATAACACACTGAATCTGTGCCACACCATTGGTGCTGACCACTCTGTAGGGCTGGGTCACTTTCGTAGCTGGCGTGAGAAAAGGTATAAGTGACTATTAGTAGTAGCAATGAAGAAGCAAATACATTACTATCAGCTAAAACCATTTACATATCAGAGTCCAGTTCCAATGGAGCACTCAAAGAAAGAAACGTATATAGAAATCTTTTCATATAACGACAAATGAGCTAGCACAAGGAAATAATAAAATTATGGGAGCAAATTCTGGCTTTTGTAAGCTTTGTATGGATTAAACAGACAGGACACAACCTTTGGAAAACCTCACAGGAGCTAAGACACGATGCTCTTCTTTCTGAGAGCTGAGGTGAGGATGAGTGTTTGGAAAGGCCGTCTGACTCCTCCAGTTCAAAAAGTTATCAAATTTGAATTGTTGTTTCATTGGTTTTCCTCCAAGCCGAGTCCTTTCAGAGTCATGTTACTTCACCCCCTCCTGTTACTCTGTGTTTGAATGTCTATCGAGCTGATAGTTAAATTCAGCACCGACCTGCTGAAGGCCTGCTGAACAGTGACATTTAATATACCTGAATTGTTTAATCCTACATTAGAAATTCCATGACTCTTTTATGTTTTTCATCACACGACGGTTCATGATGTGCTTGTTGAAAATTAATTGGAATACATTAAATTTACTTGGCTCCTTTCCTGGCTAGCATTTTAAAAGCTAAAACCACATTACAATGCCTTATAATACAGTTAGCTGAATTCACAAGGAGCAGTAAACTTCAGAGCCACAGCAGCAAAACGGTTCAGCTAAGGACAGCTGAACCATCTATCAAAAAGAAATGTTGCTGAAGATTCACTTTATGATCAGTTTTGTCATTCTGGTGGCAAAACGTCTGGATCCAAGGGTCACTCCACCTGTCAAATGAATGCCCGTTCTGTGATTACATCCTGCAAACTAAAGGTTTCAGCAGTCTTCACATGTATTTAATATTTTCCATGTATCGCGTCTGAAATGATGACTTCTTTTAAATACAGAAAATACCAAGCGCATGGTTCTCTCCTCTTCCACCTGACACCTGAAACCTTACATGTTTCACATCACTGATGCTGGGCTTGGCACCAGTTTTACGTTTTAAGTCAACAGTAAGTCTTAAACTTGCTCATGTAGGAGCAAAGTGTGTCTACACAGCTCCACCATTAAAGCTTCCAAGCTACTTTATATGTCTGCTCATGTGGAAATGTAGTCACTGTGGTGCATGGTCCAGCAGCTAGTTAACATATGTTTGGTGTCCCAACGAATCCTGTCAGAACTGCCCTCAGGTTCTTCAATGTGCCCCACAGAACACAAAGCTTCCCTGGTTTTGCATGACTGTGGCACCATTGTCTTTATCTGTAGTGCTGTTTAGTCTGATTCCAGTCTCATTCGCTTTTCTTGTTCGTAATGAACTTAAAAATAATGTTTTTTAAAGTGTTACAAAAATCATCAGTAAAAGGCTGTTTATACTCACCGCTCCACACAGGCAGGCAGAAGCTAAGAGCTGTCAACACAATCCATCCCATCATACAGTGAGTCAGGAACATCCTACACTGCTACACAGAAAGCCACAGGCACTTAAAATGATCCTTAAGCTGGTGATCACTCGCACTGAGCAAATTTGACAGAAATACATGAAAATGAGTGAAACTCATCTTTATATTTCCTTACGGTGCTGTCATGGAAACTGTGCAGCAGCACAGGAAATGATGACGAGGTTTTGCCGGTAAGAGAGATGGCAACGTGGTTGTGGTTCTGCTGGAACACTGAGAAAAACATGAATTTCATTTTTCTATGATTTTAATGAACTAGTTTAATAGCAGCATCCTCTGTCTGAAGAAAACAGAAGAAGCTGCTCAAAACATGAAAAAACTAAGAAAGGAAATCATGGTAAAAGATGACAGCAGTCAATTAAATTCTCAAGAAAACTTCAATATTAATAAGACAGAAAAAATAAACATGATGCTGTTTATGTTCTTTAAAGGATGTGAAGAGCGTAAGAATGTAAATGTTCCAGAACAGCTACTGAAAACAAAGTAACACCTGCTGGCTCGGGAATTTTTACATCTCTTTCAACTCTGTGAATAATTTAAGATCCTTTGCATATACTCATACAGCAAAATTCAGTGATTCAGTGCTTTATTCAAATATACACGAAATGCTCTGTTCACTGAAGCTTTTGTGTCTAATTCCAAAATCTGATTGTTTTTAGAGTTTTGTTGATTTTACATGAAGCGTGTGAGCGCGTCTCTGAGGCACAGTCGCTGATTGAGGCTTTGGCAGGTGAATCTTGGGTGGAAACTAACGTGCACAAATGACTTGTTCGTGTGGAAACTTTTGCTGGGTGAATATTTAGTTTGAATTCCTGTGACTGTTGAATTTTCCTTCCAAGTTTTAGATAACAGTGCAAAATCTGTAAAGCATAAAAACAAACCCACTGTTGTTTTTCACTGAGCCATTGCTAACATGATTTTCTGTCCATGACTCTTCCCAAGTTAATGAATATTCCTGAATACTTGTGTATTCTTGCTGAATATTTGATTTTTTACATGCACATAGTCTTATTGTCTTTAGTTGCAGTTTAACTTCTTTTTATACAATTATCTCCTGTTTGAAACAACAAAACCGGAGGATCAAAACTTACTGGGCTTCACCTCAGATGGACCATTGTGTAGTGTCTGAAAAACCAAACCCCGGGGAGTCGCTCGTGAACTGGTGGCACCAAGAGGTTAATTCATCTTTATATGCTTTTAGACAAACAAAAACAAAACAAGGCAGGCTAACTAAACTAAACAGCAGAACACTGAGCTTTGTAGGGGAGTAGAGTGACTACACAAAGCTGTGAGTGGGATGTACAGTAGAAACTGTTTTTGTTTTCCAAAACTGTGTTGCCTCATCACAGCAGGATGGTTTTCTGCAAAAACACAGACAAACGTTGTTCTCTACTTAGGCGGGTCCATTCAGCTCCAAAATAACAGCTTAGTCTAGTCCAGGTTAGCACAAGTATATGTTTAAGTTTACGTTTTTAACCTGTGATTGAAGCAGCTTGCAGAGATCAACTCCAACACGTAATAACTCTGACTACTTTCAAGGCAAAAGCAAACTGTGTCACTAATTTGTCACATTTGTTCCTGTAAAGCTTTTAAAGGACTTTTAAAACAGCATTCAAGTCCTGCTTGCAGCATAATGCAGCGCATGATGCAATCAGCACCCACAAGTTCCCCACATGTTGTATTTTAACATTATCGCTGATTTGCTATTTCTCTCTGGAATATAACAATCATTTTCGTAGTTTCATTTATGCATTCCTCTCAGGCCTGCTGCACCTAATATGCAACGATAAGGTGCAAACAGTGGAAAACAGCTAATTTTGCAAGTGCATTTTCAGATAGTTCACTGTGAAAGTGCTGATGTTGTGACATTCGGTGTCCTGACGTCACATCTGTGTTTTGCCTGGAAACACTCTGTGGGGTTAAACCCCGTTTTTGACAAAGCTGACTGAAGTTACAGTCAGCACTACAGTCACCCGGAAAATGGTGGTTTATTTCTGCTGCTGTCATTGTTTCAGGACGGTTTACTATGAAGCGCATGCATGTAATGAGAAGCCGTCAGCCCCTGCATGTGCAAAAAGCTATTGAAAGGAGATGGTTTCACTGTTTAGTTCTGCAAAGCGTCTTTAAAAAGGCCAAAGTTGCAAAAGCACGTGCTCATCTGATGTTCCTACTTTACACCGCGTAGACGAGCGTAATGATCTATATCGGCAGCTCTGTGCTCAGCTTCAGTAGATTGTGTTGATGCAGCAATTGTAACACGAAGCAAATGCAAAACTATCGAAAGCAGTTTAACAGCTGCAAAATCCCATTTGGTTCCATTTATCCAGTTTTTCGTTAAATGCACAAACGTCTCAGTGATATAAATAATAAACAGACGTTCTCCCGTCAAAGCTGCAGCGCTCCTCAGGCCCAAAACTGAGAGACACTGCTTTAAGCTCCACACTTGCACTTTGCAGCATCTCGACTGGCATGCATATATTTCTACTACTTTACATAAGATTATAAACTTCTCCATCACTTTACTTTCTGTTTTTTCTTAAACACATATTTGAGTGATATGGTGATGCTCTGCTTATCATGACAGCAATATGAATCCAGAGTACAGTGTTGCTGTTGGAGAGTTTAAATTGATCATGGGTGTGAGAGTGGAGGTAATGTAGCTTGTTTTAAGTGCTTTGAGAGGTAAGTAGAAAACTGATGCCAATGGGTCTATCCCTGCCCTTCCATCCTAAGACGTGACTGTTTTGTTTCAGTGTTTTTGAATTTGTAGAGTTCGTTAACGACTAACGGACGACTGGTTCCAAACAAAGAAGCGTATCCAAGCCTCTCTGCCTTCAGCTCTCCACAGCTTTAAATCTTGTGTTCATTTTCACCAATGTAATAGCTCAAAGTATGCAGTTGCTTTCTCCCCTCTTGTCTTTGA